AAGCCATCGGTCAAGCCACTACTTCTGTCATTTTGCCAACCACGTTCCAGCCGCGCAGTCTGCAATGCATACTCAGCAAATTGCAGCAACATCAGCGGCAATCAGCGACTTAGTCAAAATGGGCGGAGATCTCAGCGCTTGATGCTGCTTTGGTCCTCTCTTGACCCCCTATTGTCAAGGGCAGGTTCAAGCGGACGACCAAGACAGCATCAAGGCATGATATCTCCGCCCATTTTGACTAAGTCGCTGATTGCCGCTGATGTTGCTGCAATTTGCTGAGTATGCATTGCAGACTGCGCGGCTGGAACGTGGTTGGCAAAATGACAGAAGTAGTGGCTTGACCGATGGCTTACGCATTTGAGGGCCCCATACCTGCCCAGAACTGACGTCATAGTTATGCCCATCGACGTCTTTTATATTACTCCTCTCTTGTCGGCTCGTTGTCTGCTTTTTCGCTTGGGTACTCAGTATTTCTTCGCCGTGAGCAAGCTCAAGCAGCACTGCTCAAAGCGTGTGAGAAAGGGAAGGCATAGGAAAATGGTTCTAAAACCTCCGTCAGTAACTTGTATTATCTGAATAGCTTGCTGATAACAAAGATGAACGGCACTATAATTGACAAAGTGGTAAGCAAACGCAGACCTAGCCCATCTCCCGGACGCAATTGCACCACCTGCTGCCACTGAACAATCTCATTCCACGGCTAACGCTAAAGGGTTTTAGTGTTTCTACCAAGTATTTCTCTCTGAATCGTTATTTTTCGGTAGTATTCAACTAACACTACCACGAAAGAAATGGCCTCCTGACCATCTCCATTTTCCGACAGTTTGGCGTCACCTTTTTCCCACCGAAAATCGGGCTGAAGGGCTGGTACTGAATGCCGGCTGCTACTCCTCCCGCGCTGTGTTCAAGATGCAGCAGTTGCGTAGATCCAAGGTCCCGCAGCGAAACACGTACTCAGCGGTAGAGAACAACCAGAAAAGAGACGCTAACAAGTAGGGCGAGGCGTAGCGGGAACTCGGCACCGGAGTATCACTGCTCTACCGCCTTGTTTCCGTACAGTTTTGAGCAGAGAATGCGACATGATACTGCAGCTACAGACCCTTTTATTTCATTGAGCAGGACCAGGTACCACCGGTGTGAAAGTACAGTTCGTCTTCAACTAGTGATTTTGAGTAGTACGAAGATTTTGCGGAACTCTCGCATCTTGCAGAATTGGGAGAATAGGAAAATTAGCGGAAAGGATCGGTATCCGTCACGAGATTCGTAGAATGGTCGTCTTTCCGATTCTCTAGATCGGTACCCATACAGCTTGTTTTGAGGTTTGTCCGATCCTCTCCGCAGTTCGCAGGTTCCTGATACTCCAGTTTCGCATGTGAATGTGGCAGGTGTTTTCATCGAAGTTCGCAGACTTCCCTGTTCCGTAAAGTAAAACGAAGCACCTAACGTTCAACAATGCAGTTGACAGTAACCGGCGGGAAGATTGGCGCAAGAAAGATCGTAATTTGGCCGCTCCGTCGCGACTGCAGCGGCATGGGCGGCCGGCGTTCTCTTATACTCGTGTTCACCTGTCGACTGCATGAGCATCAAGACTCGCATGTAGACCTACATTTGTCACGACATTCATGGCTATTTTGGTGCTTTAATTGCGTACTCGTCCGCATCTACTACGTGGAATCCATCGTCGTTTGGCACGGTGCGATGTGGCTTCACGAGCGCTCAGCAAAGCTGGGTCAAGCGATATTTACGACTCTCTTGTGCTACAATAACCCGCGATCGTTTCAGTTTGCTCTGGTCAGGACTACTAAAACATCGCATCACAGATTTGTGATAGCAGTAGGCGTTGGAGCTTTACGCTAAAGTGCGTTCTCCGCAGTGATAATATGGGCTGAGGGAGGTCCCTCGCTTGGGCCTTCTGGCTCCTTCAAGTCCATTAAGAAGCATAATGATTCCACATAAGGAGGAATGCAGCGGTTCCCTTTGCCCATTCGTCTTATCAAAGGGCATGTACGCTGCGCGACCTAATGGCGTAGCAAATCACACTTTCTGCGCAGAATTTTGGGCTGGTACGCAAATGATGAAACAACTAGCTAGCATGAGGAGGACCTGAACCTGCTGCTCTGCTTGCATGTTGCAATAAAATGGTACTTGACGCGGTTCTCATATTTTGGAATTAGGCACCTCATGCTATCTAGAATCGAATATGGAATTTCCAAATATGTAATCCACTACGTCGGTGTAGCCTGCCTGCCTGCCTGCCTGCCTGCCTGCCTGCCTGCATGTATCTGTGTCTGTCTTCATCGCGCGCCCTCCAGCAATAGCAGAGCACTGGTCCCAAGATGCAATGTAGTGGTTGCGTCCAGGGCATATTAGTTGGGAATTTTGACGGAGTGAGACCCCCTCCTTTATAGCGTCCCTGAAACAAGAAAAATCAACTATCAAAAAAGTCTTTCTCGGACCAACTACGACCCCTCCCTCCCTCCCTTAGCGACCAAATGCGACCCTTTGTTGGGGAATCCCCAACCATGATGTGCCCTGGTTGCGACGAGAACATTACTGGTGCGTGGAAAGAACTGTTAGTAGCTTATTGAAGCTGTTTTGTTATGATAACTGCTGTCTAACGCCGCAGTACGCGTTCCGAATGTAGGGACTGTTAGTAGTTGATAATATTGGATAGGGGACGTCAGAAGGGGAAGGCACTATATTCATAACGCGGGTGACAGCATCAGCTAGCTCTTGATTCCAAGATATGATATAGGGTATGGGCCAAGAATATTATTGGTGGGTGCCAGAACTGTCATCAGCTGATAGGACTCAATAAGAGGCATGAGAAAGGTGAGGTCACCGTGTTCACAGCGGGTCACAGCATCTACGAGGAATTGGTTGCAGAAAGTGACGTAGAGGGTAAGCTGGACATCCATAGTGGGTGACAGAAAGCGATAACAAC